GATTTAGGATGTACAATTAATATGACAAACATTATATCCCAAATAACGCACACTCATCCCAGAGTTCTTAAAAAAAATTAAAAGCTAATATATTTAAGACTGATTCTATCTGATTTTAACTTTAAACAATTAACAAGGATAGTAATGCGTTAAATGGGATTTAAGCCTTCATTTGAATTAAGAATTTTGTTCCGAGTTAGCCTTATTATCGGAAACTCACACTTAACGCCAATAGGTATATATTGATGTAAAAAAACCTTTAAACTTAGCGAATTAATGCATATCACGGTGGGTTGAAAGTTCACCCTCACACATCCCGTGAATTATCACCTGTCCTTCGCAGGTTATTAAGCCCATCCCGCTGGTTATTTATGGGTATTTCCGACTACCAAAATACATTATTAATACGTATATCGAATCGATGTTGCTCGCCAAAAAATGTTCAAACGTGAATCTTTTTACACTGATGAAGTTTTTGGAAGTTTTTTTTTCTTGATTGGGAGTAACGAAATAAGTTTTTATTCTATTTTCATTTTAAACACTAGAAGCAAACCTCGAACAATAAATTCAATCTAGGCAGATAGTTAGGTCGACTATAATTATTTTGGTTTTTTTTCTGGAGTAAACGAAAATGTTATACTTAATATTTGTGGGATTTTAAACAGAGACAGAAGAACAGATATACCTAAGAACGAACTATGTAGCAAATATCAACAATCGAAACGATCTGTCCAAAATTGCTGCTCTATCATTTCTATTAAAACAATTCCCACAAAACTCCACGGAAAATTCCACAGAGTTGTGAGAAAATCGTATTCAACAAATTCCATAATTATTATGCATTTCTGTCGGAACCGACGAGGAAACCTGGGTACCGTAAGCCTATTACTGCGGTCCGGCAGTGGGCTTACAACTAATCTTATTAAAATATTATCGTCGGTATCATTTTAATATTGCTCGTACAAAGGAGTATAAATGCGTATTACGTTAGTCTACTATATAAAAATTACTTGGTTTTACATTGTTAGGAAAGTTTGAATAATGTAAGATAGTTTTTAAATTTTAATCATATGGAATTGGAATATACATGACTGACATAAATAATAATAAAAAATCATTGCTTACATATAAACATCCAGCAATTTTGTTATTAAGTAAAATATGCTGCCTTTTTAGTTTTCGGGTATCCGGGTTCGAATCAGCGCATTTTCCTGTTAACATTATTTATTGTCTTCTGCATGTTGTTAAACCAATTACTTCGCAATTTTACTGTGTCTGTTAGTTTTCATACATCTAGTTATACTAATAAAAGACCTAATTATTTTCTTGGACTTAGTAACTAATTTCGCCACACCAATTACTTTAAAAGGTCAAATAGCACAAAAGCCACGCCTAACCTATGCATTACTGGGCGCTCGTAAAAATATAAACCAAGGCTGCAATAAACAGCCTAAGCACTTTTGGGCTTGTTGCTAATCAGGTCACGTTCCTACGTAAAGTAGAAAAACCTGGAACAATTTTAACAACTGTTTAGTATCGAACGAGCCAGTAAGGGCAAGGGCACACGATGCGCCGGAGCGGTGCGCTGCGATGTCGCACCGGAATTGCAACCACCGAGATGGTATGGGGAAGAGTGAATGCGTTGCGACGTCGGAGCGGTACCACTCAGTTGTTTACGCGTCATAGAAAATCTATGCTGCTGGGGCGCAAGCGAAGCCGTTTCGACGTAACAACGTCTGGTAACGAAATTCATGAAGTTTTTTTTGGAGGTATCTGTCATTCATTGTCAACCTGGAAAATTGATGTCTGCCATTTTAAGTAATGTTTGTATAAAGAAACTTTAAAAGTAGGTAATGAGTAAGTACAGGAGTACTGCACAGAAACTGTTGATAAAAAAAATATGGTGGCGCTTTGGGATCGCCGACAGAGGTAAAAACTAAAAATCTCAAAAAAAAACTAAGCAAAATGTAAACTAAAATAACTAAAAAAACTGGCCAAGCACGAATCTGGCCTCACTCTGGTCACAAATTACATTCATCATCATCATCAGCCTATTAATGTCCCCACTGGTGGGGAATAGGCCTTCCCTTTGGATGGAATAGGAAGGTTGGGCTTGGTGGGTGCTAACGACCGCAGATGCAACCGGGACCAACTGCTTAACAACAACAATTTACCTTACTATTTGGAATGAACGAGCCAGTAAGGGCAAGGGCACACGATGCGCCGGAGCGATGCTCTGCGATGTCGCACCGGAATTGCAATCACCGAGATCGCGGCACCACTCAGTTGTTTATGCGTCATAGAAAATCTTTGCCGCTGGGGCGCCAGCGAAGCCGTTTCGACGTAACAACGTGGCGGCGCCGCACCACTTTCGTGCCCACCGATACAGCAAAATCTTTGCGTTGCGGCGGGCGGCGTCGCGTTGTTGGATCGGTGTCGCTGCGTCGTTCTACAAAGTAATATCTGTGGCATGTCAGAGGATACGCTGCCATGCCGCACCGGACTAAGCTGGGAGAGGTGTGTGTAATGCTTTGCTACGTCGGAGTGGCACCGCTCAGTTGTTTGAGCAAGAAATCCAACGCTGCTACTACGGCAGCGGCGCTGCGCCGTGTGTACTTGTGCTCTAAGAATAAATCACTGCATATTATTATATACACCATTGAAATCCTAATGATTTCACAATAAGTTAGAAATAACTGTAGCCAAATAAATCAAAATTATACAAGACTAGCGGCCCGCCCTCGCTTCGCGTCGGTGTAGAGCTGTAGTGTAGGTAGACTATAGATTTTGTTCAAGGTCTTGTATTATACACAATGAATTTCTTAATATAATTATTTTTCTCACCTTTTAAACCTTCCCTAGACCTCCACGAACATTTCAAGCCAGCCGTTCTCGAGCAATTGATTTTTATGTAAATATAGATTAACTATTGATAACCAATCGGGTGTTTTCAGAATGCGAATTTTAATGGACTTTCTAAAAATTAGAACTAGGGAATTGAGCTTTTAGTATATTTTTGGGAACAAAAGCGTGGGTTTAGATTATAATCAGTCACGGCCTAACCTAAACGAAAAGGTCAGCGCTACAGTAGGACTGTACAGCGTAGTTTGTATCCATTTATGTAATTACAGACTTCCTTAACTTAACGCTACACATATCCGTTGCGGTGTTAGCATAGTCCAGAAATTAAATAAAATATCAAATTGTATTGTTGCTTTTATTTAATTTTATACTAAACTAGCAGCCGCCCGCGATGTCGTCCGCGTTAACCTTTAATTTTTTTTCTAAAATAAAAGATTTTTTCTGAAATATAAGTAGCCTAAGTTACACCTTACTACATCAGCTATCTGCCAGTAACAGTCCCGTCAAAATCGATCCAGCCATTTCAGAGATTAGTCGAAACAAAGAGAAAAAAATGTGTATGTACCGTATATATATTCATATAGTAAAATGCGGGTATTTCATTATTACAAACAGACACTCAAATTGTATTTATATGTACGAGTATTTATAGAAGATGTATAGAAGATTAAATAATATGCAAGTCATAACAAATAACTTCACCAAGACCTTGACTCCCGTTTTCACATTATGTTTTTATTTAAACATTTAAATACAGTTACAGTTTTCACAGAATTTGTAATATAAATTATTTTTGAAGTAAGATTAAAAGAGAAGGAGGTGGGTTGTATGAGTGCCCCACCCATACAACACAGCCAACGACCGTCGACCAATTCAAAAAAAGCCTGAAGACCCGAAAGCTTACCGTTTTTTTTGTAAGACCCTAACAATCATTGCATTTTAAAATGTTAGACGCTCTACTATGGTAAGACCCTACCCTACGTATGCAAATCTAGACTAACTAGAGCCCTCCACGACCACGGCTAACTAGTGCCAAGGTCCAAGTCTCAAAGAAACTATCCGAGTGGAATACTAAAGACACTCACCAATTCTCGCCTTAAAGTCCCTTTAGGATCTCGCCGTCCCCAAACCCGGTGACGCTGTAAAGGTCATGCTGCGACCAACAGCATACACACTAAAAAATGGAAATTTGCCTTACATTTGCTCAAGGCTTTTTTGACTGCCTTTCTTTAGCACGGAAGATTTATCTGTGTAATTATAAATTTACTAGGAGATTATTCAACTTCCAAACTTCCGAGTCCAACCGCATACCTAACACGGCCCCCTTGGAGTAGACTTTCGCCTGCCATTAATAATATTAATTCCGCACCATTTTTTAAGAGTCGTCCGCTGCGTTCCGTCCTTTAACTCAGCCCAGTATTGCCAGATCGTACCGCTTTTTCGCTTTTACTACCTCCTTTAACCAACAATGGTTCCGCGTTCCGCTTTTTCCCTACTAATATACTAACAACCTACTACTATTTTCCTCACTCATGATATATAAAATAAAAAATTCTGAAGGGGGGAGGGTCAAACTCCGTGTTTTTGTACCAATTACCGCGTTTGTAACTTCCTCATCTGGCAACACTGGCTCATCCTGCCATTCTATGACGCAATGAATTCCTCTGGGTTTAGTGTGGACGAGTTTACGCTGATGTAGATGCAATTTTTCTCGCACGCTCCTTTCATACTTAATGAAAATATTTTTTATTTTGCTGACTCATTAAATTATGACTGAAGCTACCATTATTCACTGTCCCCTTCCCTCCGGACAACTGAGGCGATCAGACGTATTTTTCGTAAACTGTGTTAAAAAATTATTTAAATGAAATAAAATTAAATATTCAAAATTTATTAAGACCTATATACCAGGAGCGCATAACCGCGACGGAGCCGAAAAAGTGCGAGCGAATTACGTGAGTTACTTTTCGTTTACTCATATCGTACCTCAAGACTAACATAGATCAAGTTACGCTAGACGGAAAGCTGTTTTGTATGAATTCCTCGCGACCAACCAGTTTAAGCTGAGCTCCGTCCGATTCTACGGTTACGAATAGCACATACAAGTTATTGGGTCCTGGTACTTTTGACTAACAAACATGCCACTACGTCACTCCCCACCAACACACGGAGACTGCCGCGCACCCATAGAGAATGTAGTTCGCAGTTTTACGCAAGATGAGTTACCAGCACCGAAAATTATTCTACAGCATAGTTCATCAGAACATGATGTACAAAACTTATCGGATGAGCATTCTAATTCTAACTCGAGTGTATCGAGGCGGTTCAAACGAAAGAGAACCAACACATCGGAAATACACTTAAACAATTTTATGTCTGAAATTAGAGGTATGATGTCGGATCTCAAACTTCAACAAGAATCTCAGATGGAAAAAATTCATGCCGCAATTGATGAAATTATATCACAAAACACGGACATTAGAGCGTCTATTGATTTTTTATCGGCCAAGTATGATGCACTCATAGAGCAGGTTGATCATCTTAAGGTTCAAAATACGCATCAACAGGAGTATATACAATCTCTTGAACTCAAATTAGAGAACATGGAAAGGGGAGTACGTTCAACTTGTCTGGAAATAAAAAACTTACCTGTTAATAAAACTGAGTCTAAGTCGAGCTTGATTGAAACAGTCACCAAGATTGGTAAGGTCCTAAATGCCAACATACTGACCAACGACGTCAAAGACATTTTTCGTATCACCACTAGAAACCCAGACAACAAAACTGTCATTGTAGATTTTGTGAGCATTATTGCTAAAGATACTGTAATGAAGGCATACAGGAAGTATAATAAAGATCACTCCAAGCTTATGACGGAACAAATAGGTATAAGTGGGCCCTCGAAACAAATTTATATCTGTGAAAACCTTACTGCTAAAATGAAACGCTTATTTTACCTAACTCGTGTTTTCGCAAGCAGTAAACAATATAAATATTGTTGGACTACAAATGGCAAGATATTTATTAGAGAAAAAGAAGGGTCTTCTTACCATTTAATAAAAGATGAATCGGATTTAAAAAAATTGGATACACCGGTATGACTAGGCTGTTGTTTCTTTTATTTATGCATGTCAAATTACTTTTCTGTTGAACTTTTTTATGTTGATATTTTTTGTTATTGTTGTACTGTAACTCATTTGCAATTTAATATAATGTATAAATCTTACGCACACATATTTACACTCAATAACTCACTCTTCCATACTCAGATCAAACACACATATAGTCGAAAACACGCTACTTTCATTCTACAATATTTACATGGAGGTTATACTCACGAGTCTCATATACACGCTCATTTTAGTAGCATTCATATCACCACATACAGCATTTCTCTGCTGCTGCTTCTTTATAAAGTCTGCAGTGCCGGGATTTTAGCATCAAATGTCGTTTTCCTTTTCTGTGCTTTTGGGGATTTTTTTTAACATTAGAAAATCCACAGAGATCTTTTGTTCGTACACAATGTGTAAATCATATATATTCTTTAATGGATATGGAGATATCTTTGGACATTGATAATGTATCCATTGGTAAATCATATATTAGTACACCAGAAAGTGCATCTTTGCATGTATGTAACCCAGAGAATCAATTGATATTCTTTCATGTTAATATAAGGAGCATTGGTTGTTCTACTAATTTTAATAATTTTCTTTTGCTATTGGAAAGAATTAAATTGAATATTGACGTGATGGTTTTATCCGAGTGCTGGTTAAGCAAATGTCCGTTTCTTCCACAAATACCGGGATATCGTACTTATAACTCAAGTTATAGCAACCAAAACGATGGACTAGTTGTCTATACAAAAAATGATATAGTAGCCAAAGTGAAGGAGCCTAGCATAACTGATGCTAACTGCTTGACCGTGGAACTCCCAAATAATGTTGTGATTGTGGCAGTCTATCGTTCTCCATCCTGTAGAAATATTGATGATTTTCTCCATGGTTTGGATGCTCTTTTGCTCTCGCTGCGTTCTTTTAAAACTATAGCTCTAATCGGTGACCTTAATATTAATATAACCCAGGAAAACATGGACCAAAACTCAAATTCTTATCTCAATTTGTTAGCATCACAATCTATGTTGCCTACGCATCACATTCCAACTCGCATACAAAATTGTCTCGATCATGTAATCCTTAAATCAGATAAAAATTCCGTTACTCTAGTTTTAGATGCTCATCTTACTGATCACTCTCCTTTATTATTCTGCACTGAGACGAAGAGCAGGGCAAATAATCTACCCAAAAAGTTTACATTAAAACGTCTAAACATCCCAGCTTGCGTGAATGACATTGAAAATATAGATTTTTCTGATGTTACTAACAATGAAAATGCTGACACATCTGCTAACATTTTAATTTATAAATTATCTACCGCAGTCGAAGCCAATACATCCATTGTTTATATCCCTAGTAGAAAGCGCATCTCCAAGCCGTGGATTACTCCAGGATTGCTTCGCTGCATTCGGCATAGAGATAGGCTTTATCTTAAAACAAAAAAACATCCAAGCAACGACGTTTTAAGTATATCATATAAAAGATATAAGAATTTTTGTAATAATCTCCTAAAAAGATTGAAACAAGAATATGAGCGATCAGAATTCACTAAATGTAACAAAAACCCGAAGAAAGTTTGGAATCTGATTAAGAGTACCACTAATCTCAAGCAAACTACTGCATCTACTTGTGATGAACTTCTAACAGTGTCGGAAGATCCTTTAAGGGCTGTTAACTTTGTGAATACGTATTTTGCTAGTGTTGGAAAAAGTTTAGCATCAAAAATTGCCAAAAGCTCTGTAGAATCTTCTTTTAACTGTCCTATCATAGATTGTAATACTTCTGAAATGCACTCAATGGTGCTTATACCCATGACAAAGAAATTGAAGATATAATCCTGGGGTTACGATTGGATTGTGCAACGGGCTGGGATGGCATCTCTAATGTATTAATAAAAGAGTCAAGGCATGTTTTAATTCCAGTATTGACTCAACTTTTTAACCTTTGTTTCTCTACTGGTACTTTCCCTGCTGTGTTTAAAAAAGCAATAGTCTATCCCATTTTTAAGAGCGGAGACAGATACAGTGTAACCAATTATAGACCCATTTCTATTTTAACAACCTTGTCAAAAATCTTCGAAAAAATTCTTAATAATAGATTAACTAACTACTTGAACTCTAAAAACTTATTGGCTCCAAATCAATATGGTTTCAGACCAGGTAAGTCAACAGAGGATGCTGTTTTGGAGCTCACTAGTACAGTATTGAATAATATTAATAATAAATTAAATTCTTTGTGTGTTTTCCTAGATATTTCTAAAGCCTTTGACACTGTGTCTGTCCCTATTCTCTTACGCAAACTTCAGAGTATAGGTGTTAGGGGTGTCTCACTTGAATTATTCAAGAGCTACTTAAATGCGCGAAGACAATTTGTTCGGATAGCTAATTATACAAGTCAGGAAGAACCAATTCAATATGGTATACCACAGGGTAGCGTCCTTGGACCTACCCTGTTTCTAATATATATGAATGACTTGTGTCAATTAAAACTGCCAAATTGTAAAATCCTGTCTTATGCCGATGATACAGCAATTGTAGTAAATGGGAAGACTTGGGACGAGGCTAGGGTTTCCGCTGAGTTGGCTTTGAGTGTGGTCATGTCATGGCTTTCGAACAGCATGCTGACATTAAATATTAATAAAACTAAATTTATCACGTTTGCTCCCAGACTCTCCTCACAACCCGATTCGTACTATTGTTTGAAAGCACACAATTGTAATTTGCCAGCCAGTAACTCATGCACTTGCGTATCAATAACACGTACAAATAGCATTAGATATCTTGGGGTTATTGTTGATAATCTGTTGTCGTGGACCGAACATATCCGATCTATCACTTCGTGAACCAGAAAGTTAATTTTTGTTTTCAGCAGACTTAGACATCTCGTTGATTCTCATATCCTCGGAACTGCATACTTTTCTCTGGCACAGTCAATAATATCGTAATGTATAACGGTTTAGGGGGGGCTCTGGAAAGTCAAAGATGTTAGAACTTGAAAGAGCACAAAGAGCCATCTTGAAAGTTATGGCATTTAAACCTATTAGGTACAGCACCCAGTTAGTGTATGCTTTCTGGCAGGTACTTTCTGTCCGCAAACTATTCGTCCAACAAGTTGTGTTACGCAAGCATATGCTACTCCCATATGACCCTTGCACCCTACTAAATAAAAGAAGGAAAGACAATGTGTGTAAAATTCCAAATTCTCGAATAGCCCTATTAAAACATCATTATGATTTCATTTCTCCCCTCCTCTATAACAAAGTAAATAAAAGGCTTAACATTTACCCTCTCTCAAAGCATGAATGTAAGATCAAATTGAGCGGGTGGTTACTGGAGTTGGAATATGACACTGTGGAGTTGTTGATCAAGTAAAATATGCACATGCACACACATCTCTCCATCACACACACACTACATATACACATACACACACACACACACACACATACACACACACACACACACACACACACACACACACACAAACACACACAAACACACACAGTGTAATGTATTATAAACACTTTGTTTCAAATCATGTCTGTAATGTGCCTGTCTTTTGAGGTGGGCGCTAATAACTGTAACACAGTCTTAGACTACTACGGTTGTTAACGCTAAATTGTTATAATGTATACGTCATGATTCAAAAATAAAGATTATTATTATTATTATTAATATCACGTACGTTTACGTTTCCAAATTTGTTTGACTGCTTATTTTTGTATATTTTAGGAAGGTAAGCGCAATAAGTCTCCCTCAAGCCAGCAAACTTGACAATTTCCTTTGTAAGCGGTGGCTGGAGCGGTGGACTGTTTTGAATGAAAATAATAAAACTAGCTCAACGAATTAATTGACATGTATTTGGGAGCAATTGACATCAATAGACGAACAGGAAAAAACAGTAAAAATTACATTAGTCATAAAAGTCATAGAAAACATAAAAAGCCTTGTAAAAGGAGGCTAACACAGGTAGAGGTGAGGCTGACGGCAATACTTTTTCAATCTTAATCCTTAATTTTTTTTATTACGAGGCCACAGGAGTAGAGCCCTGTTTTCTAAGTAGTCTATACAAAAAATGAACCTAAATGAAACACCACACAGCAAAAACCATTTGCGAACTTGTATATATGACTGCTAAAATTGCAGTGGACTAACGGTTGCCTGAATGTACTTACATTCAGCAAGCAAATCTTCGGTCACCCATCCCATTACCGACCAGAGCCGAACACATCGCAGCTGCAAATGATTGCGCGCTATTTGCTTGTGATACGAAAAAAGCCGGTACATTTTGCCGAGTATTGACGAATGTACTCGTCATGGTACACCAATATAAAAATGCGAATCGATGACCCCTCCGTCCGGAAAATTGTCTAAACCCTTTCCGCCCCGCGCGAAAAGGATATTCAGATCCTGTTGTTATTATTATATTTAAACGTTTAAGAAATTTTACGTAATACAATAAAAGTAACATATGGGTATATTGAGTATGTAACTCTGCTAAAATGGTATTTAATTTTATATTGTTTACTATTTTATTGACCTCCGTGGTCGAGAGGTTTGTACTCCGGGTTTCATGGTGTCGCCGACTCGAGAGGTCTCGGGTTCGAATCCCCGTGGGGGCAGATGTTTGTGTGATGAATACGAGCATTTGTACTCCAGCCATGGATGTTTAATATATATTTCTATATAAATATACTTATATAAGTACAGTATTGGTGTGTGTTGTTTTTTTATTTCTTTTTATTCTTATTATTATGTTGACTATTTAATTATTTAAATTGGGTAAAATAGTTTAATTTGTATAAACATTGTATTTTTGAGCCTTCTCCTGTGTTACTATTATTTTTGTGATTGTTTGCAATGTCCTACAGTTAAATGACCTTAATTTTAAGTATATAGGTTGCAGTTTAGTATACGAGATTATAGGTAGCCATGCACTCTTAAAAATCTCTTCGGTGGTGTCGTGTGAGGCGGGTCGTTACCTCTTTCATTAATTTTAGCTGAAACTAAAAGTTTTGTTAGTTTTGTCGATAATTAGTTGTTATAAAAGTCACGAAACTATTTTTGATAAAAGGAAAAATAAGCTAATTTTTTGACGTGACAACGTCTTAAATTAGGTTGCGGCTGGGAGTCACTTATGAAAAAGTGTAACGCTCGGTAACGTTACGATGAGTCTCTCGTGTTAAGTTTAAGTTTACATGTACAATGTTTTAGTAAACAAAATATATTTCTATAGTTAAAATTTGTGCAATTCTTATTTTCATTCAATTCCTTGTTCCTATTGTGCAATTTAATTATATTCATATCAATAAATATTCTACCGAGAAAAAGACGTTGTCACGTAAAATCTTCGCCCGTAAAACCGACTTTACAGGCAACCATTTTTTTTTGTTTTTTTTGTTCTATCATGTCCTGCTTTACCATTTTCGTTTACTTACAAGAAGAAAATCCATTATACAATGAGCAAGTATCGTAAAACTGTTCAATAAAAAGAATTTCTTATCAGTCCACAATATTAACCACTTAGATGGTTCGTAAAATTTTCAATCATAATTTTAATCGCACATAAAAGCAACAGCTACACTTTATTGCAACATTAATGACTTTATTGCGTTTTGATGCAATTAAAATTGTTAATTTTAATTTTAATAGTACAGATTTATTTTAATGTTAATTTAATCATTCAAATATGAGATTTAGAGTCAAAACCCGAATAACTATTCTATTTGAAAGTAGATGAAATAATTTTACTTTGGAAGTAAAGTATACATACATGTTTACTTATTTATTTTCAGATAAGAAATCTCTCTATTATAGCCAAATTGACATGGAGTGATTTTATCCAAATCCCTCACTTGCTATCTGACGGATAAAAGCTTTATTTTCTGAGTTATTTTCCGCATTTGAGATAAGACTTTTACCCATAACGTGGGATGAGGTTTGACATGTTGTGTTGGCTACTTATGCTGTGTGGATACAGTACCCTTAGCGCGAACCAATATCGAATTTGAATAGTTTGCGAGTGCGAAATGTCAATGTCAAATGTGTACTGATTTTTAGTTCTCGTTACGTACTTTGTGGCACTGCTGTTGTGTCAAATTTTGTATGGAAACCTGAACAGCAGCGCCACAAAGTACGTCACGAGAACTAAAAATCAGTACACTAAACTCTAAATCTAATGAGAAAAAAACGTGTAACTATTTCGTCTAATACTTTTCCTCCCTCTTCAAACGATCCTTTTGTTATTTTTAAAATAAGGAATTCAATAGATAGGAAATTGTCCTTGATTCCCCAATTCCTCTTATTCCTTAAAAAACGTAAAACGCAATCAATGAGTTCTCGGTAGTACAATTTAATATGGATGTTACATTTTGTTACTTACCAATGCTGGGGCATACTTACTAATGCCGGCTAATGTACAGTACGGGCGCGATCTGAATGCAATCGGGGTATGAGATTGGGCGCCCACACTCCGGTGCCTTGCACGCCTGCAGATTGTTTCATGTGCGTGACCATAGTGTTCCTCAAAGCTGCACACAGATCGCGCGCATGCTGTACTTTAAACGATGTCAACATTATAAGACATACATATGCTGTTGCAAACATTTTGTAGAACTTTTAATGAGGATCAATGTGTGTAACCTTACGCAGCGTACGAAACGGTAGCTCCCAAAAATCTTTTTTGATGTTATTATATAGCCAACCGATGGAATATACTATCCGACACAAAGCAAAATAAAAAATTCTAGCGAGCATTTCCGGAAATAAGCACGTTCAACAAATTAAAACTACTTTATAAATGGTTTAAAATGCGTTTTTTAATATTTAAATAAACGTTAAAATATGTAAAAAAAATGAAACCCGTTCAATAGTTATTTTACTTAAAGTGGTGTGTAAAAACATGGGAAATAAATAAAATCAACCAAACATGGATTTAAAGATAACCTGGACTCAAATTGATGCTGTCACTTTTATTTGATAAAAAGAAGACAGAGACGTTATAGGTGTATACCAAAACTAACTTCGCGTTTTGAATTAGGCGTATTAGCTTTATAATATTACTGATATTAGTATTGACAAGTATAGATACATACTAACGAATGATATTTTTTGTTACAGAACCATGGCAGTGTTCAGCGCTACTTTTGACGGAACCCACTGATAAGAATGGGACAATTCCACAGAGCTCCCTGTTTATCCAATCCTCGAAAGGTATGTTTTCCTTGTTTGCAGTAATACTTGTAGATCACGCTATATCCCTTTTTCAAGAGAAAGCATTGTAAGTGTACAAAGAAGAGTTTAGACAATGTTCTAGTCTATCTATGCTTAGCGTTGGCAGGCATCCGGATAAAACCGGACATAATTAGGCTTTTTGATTGCGTGTCCGGCCAAAATAAACGGCGTCCAGCCTGTCCTTGAGCGTTGTTGTCGAGTGTTTCCTGAGTGAACCTCCACCGGTTCATAAACTCGCGGAAACACTCGACAAACAAGAACAGAGATGAATTTATGAACCGGATTGTTACTGAAGATGAAACTTCGGTTCAATACTATAAACCTGTGTCCAATAAAGACTCCATGCAGTGGCTAAGAAAAGGTGCAGCACCGCCAAAGAAGTTTAATGTGGCACAATCGGTTGGGTGATTGTTCCACTTCTGATTCTTTTGGAATTCTATGTGAATTTTATTGGTTGATTATAAAGAAGGTGTCAATATGATGGGAGAATACTACGCTTCACTGCTACAATAAATTAAAGACATCCTATAAAGAAGAAGGGGAAAATGGACTCGAGGTGTGTTCCTTTTGCACAATAATGAACCCGTCGACAAGTCATGTTTCCATTGCTGCCCTAAACAAGTGTGGATTCGAAACATTTAAAAAATCTCTTCATAGCCGAGACTTAAGTCTTTCTGATTATTAACTAAAGACAGAGCTTCGTGGAAATACTCATGTCGAAGAAGTGAAGTCTGCAAAATTGCCTAATTTAGCTTATTTATATCATATTTTCGATGATATAAATAAATTATTTAACAAATCTGAAAAATGTATTAGGCTTGAGGGAGAATATGTTGAAATGAAAAACCTTTTCATGTTTTATTTCAGACCTCTTCCTCTCCATTCCACGAACGTTTAGACCTCCCCTCGTAGTACAAATGATGTTTACGTTTTCTGGTCGCCACACCATTCCAGCTCGATGCTCATGAATTTTAAACAGTTTTTGGTAGCATTTTATATTGTCGTTTCTCTAATCTCTATAGGTACTGTATACCTAATAATTTATGCGAATGCAAATCATAAATCTCCCTTTAACCTCATTTTTATTATTTTTTGTAAATATGACTAACACTGAAATGGAAAAAATGTATTGGTATAATTACTGAAGTTGTAATGTCAGAGAGTCAGTGTAGGCGCGAATGATACTTTGGTATCGCAAATATCGATAGTATTGTCTATGGCGGCCGCTCACCTTCAGATATGTCAAATGCTCGTTTGCCACCAATTGTTACTTGAAAAATAAGCGGTGGTACTCCGCGAGTGCCGACAGAAATCAAAACTAAGCAAAAATATGTAAACAAAAATAAGTAATCATATATATGCCTGTAGGGTTTGAACTTGGAACTCCAGACCTATTGCACTCGAAGGAGCGTTTGTTGCATTAGACTTGATTATATGAAAGCCACTAATTTGACTTCAAAAATTGTTCATTCTGCCGGTGACCAAACCTAATTGCTTAAGATTTCGATGAAAACCTGGAAAGGCAATAAAAATAGATCTTCGTTTTATTCAGATTCCTTCTTTTGTAACATCAAAGCATTCTTTGACGGGGTATCTCTTGGATCAATGAGCCGTGATATAAACGGGAAACTGTCGTAATCGAGGATTCTTAGGTTCTTAGGTAAATTTTTACCTAAGAACTACCTACATCTAAGTTAAAGTTGATTCTGGTGTCAACTCTAGCATGCATTCTTTAAACTTAAACTTAAATTTGACAGCAGTGTATCCAGAATAAAAAGGATAGACTGATTAAATTTAGTTAAAACTTTAGAGAATCATGCCCGAAGCAACACCATTGTCCAAAGCATCTTCAAAGTAAAAAGAACAGAGTTCAATTAAAACTGACCTGTATTGTCGCTTGAGTAGGGTTAGCAGAACTAATATGACTTCGATGTATGTCATAGGGTTCTAAGTTTTGAACGGAAATAGGTAGACCACCCAGACCAGACAAAAAGGATAGTGCAAAATGGACGACTGTTGTCAAAATTACAAATAGCAAATACGAAAAGCCATTATGTAAGGTGCCCACGTCACTTTTGTATCATGTTCATCATTATCATCAGCCTCTTAATCTCCCCACTGCTGTGGCACAGACCTTCCCTTTGGATGGAATAGGATCATGTTGATGATAAGTGGTTTCTCACGACTGCAGATGCAGTCGGGACCAATGGCTTGACGTGCCCTCCGAAGTACGGAGGAGCTGGAGATATATCAATATTTAGTCACACATCCAATGACCGACCACTGCGAAAGTTTAATGATCGCAGCCGAACGCGCTAACTACTTGCCCCATCGAGCTCCTCTCGTGTTACATTTAAACTCTGCATTTGTTTTAGGTGTGCGTGTGAGTGCACGCACCGCATGCGTTGATGGGCGCGGGCGGTAGCGGGGGCGGGGGGCGGGCGGCGCGCGCGCTCCGCCTGCTGTTGCTGATTGTATTCGCGCTCGCGGCCGTGGAGTATCTGTTCGGCTCCATACTGGACGCGTCGCCGCTGCGCACGTATCTGTACCAGCCAATCTACAACGCCACACTGCCGACTATCAGGTAAATTGGTGCGAGTGTGACAGCTGCTGTTGCTGTTTGGCTCGCGCTCGCGGTGGTCGAGTATCTGTTCGGCTCCATACTGCACGCGTCGCCGCTGCGCATGTATCTCTACCAGCCAGTCTACAACGCCACACTGCCGACTATCAGGTAAATTGGTGAAGGTGTGCGAGTATGACAGCTGCTGTTGCAGTTCGTGCTCCTGCTCGCGGCGGTCGAGTATCTGTTCGGCTCCATACTGCACGCGGTGCCGCTGCGCACCTATCTCTACAAGCAGATCAACAACCCCACACTGCCGACTATCAGGTAAATTGGTGAAGGTGTGTGAGTGTGACAGCTGCTGTTGCAGTTCATGCTCGTGCTCGCGGAGGTCGAGTATATGTTCGACTCCATACTGCACCCCTAGCACGAACCATTATCGAATTCGAATAGTTTGCAAACCGAAATGTCAAATTTTGTATGAAAACTTGCACAGCAGCGGCACAAAGTACGTAACGAGAACTAAAAATCATTTGACAATGACATTTCGGACTTGCAAATTATACTAATTCGATATTGGTTCGTGCTAGGGGTACTGCACGCGTCGCCGCTGCGCACGTATCTCTACCAGCGGATCTACAACGCATACTGCTGACTATCAGGTAAATTGGTGAAGGTGTGACAGCTGCTGTTGCAGTTCGTGCTCACGCTCGCGGAGGTCGAGTATCTGTTCAGCTCCATACTAGACGCGTCGCCGCTACGCACGTATCTCTACCAACGGATCTACAACGCCACACTGCCGACTATCAGGTAAATTGGTGAAGGTGTGCGAGTGTGACAGCTGCTGTTGCAGTTCGTGCTCGTGCTCGCGGGGGTCGCGTATCTGTTCGCCTCTATACTGGACGCGTCGTCGCTACGCACCTATCTCTACAAGCGTATCTACAACGCCACACTGCCGACTATCAGGTAAATTGGTGCATGTGTGCGAGTGTGACAGCTGCTGTTGCAGTTCGTGATCACGCTAGCGGAGGTCGAGTATCTGTTCGGCTCCATACTGTTCGCCGCTACCATTTTACAACGCGACCCGACTCTATCAGGTAAAAAGTTTAAGCTTAGGTAATAACAATAGACCTAGGAATGGGCTGCGTAGTAAAACTGGGCTTCTGGCTGTGAGAGACAAAACAATAGGGTGGCCCTTTCATACATCAGAATGCAGATGTCTGTATCCTGATAACTACAGACACATGTAGCTAGGTACGCATAGCTATGCTATAGCTGGCATATCAATTGTAGTAACACATTTTGTTTTCATTCCAGATCACGAGAAAAATTAGCAGCGTCCTGGCCTAAAAGAGTACCGACTACAACGGACCTTACTCAAAACCCCGAAGTTAAAAACTCCACGAATATAACAAACCCCATTTTAAATAGTAATATAACACAAATTCCGTTAGCAAATATGACTGGAGCGGTTATGTTAGAAAACACGACTTCGTTGATGGTCACCAAAATTATAGACAGTATAAGAAATCAATCGACGACAGAGAATTCTGATATCAAAAGGAATGAGACTGAACTGCCGATGTGTTTTGATGAAGTACCAGGTGACTTTGGTAAGTAAAATAATATATTGTTTTAAACTTTTATGGTCACTAAAATTATAGTAAAATAAGTTATTTACGGGATTGTTACCATGTACCCTGTTTTCCTTACTTCGTCGGAGGGTAGACCGGTAGGCTGTTATTGGCAGACATATGCCAATAACAGCCTACCCGCAATTACTTCAGTTACTCCGTGATCATGGCGCTTGCAACAGTGCCGAAATATCGGAAACTCGCTAAAAACAGGGTGCAAAGTAAAATAATGTTATAATAGCAACCACACTTTAGTATTAGGCTTAATATAGGAAGGAATTTTTCTCTGCGGTAGATTGGGGACTAAAGGCCATGAAATTAATGGTTGTCAAAATGAAGTTTTGTACAAAATACAGCCTCTACTTATATTAAATTTAAAAATTACTTGGCGTTTTGAGAGGTAACACTAAACAAATTAAGGAGAAATCTGGCGTGGAGTCGTACAGAGGGGTCAAAGTGCTGGCTAAGGACAGAGGGAGATGGTGGGAGATCCTTAGACTGCACGGAAAAGAGCTCTTAAATTCAGAGTGAGAGATTGAGTGTTGTCGGTTGGTAAAATGAAATGAAACTTTTTCGATCCCTTTTTCATGTAATACAGCTAAAAGCAGACAAGCGTCTATTAAATTTTGTCAGCCATCTTATGTTCTGCGACCTTCGTTTTACCATTAATTTCAGTGGCATTCTCATCAAATATTAAAAGTTCATTGTGCTCAATATAAATTTAAATTATGTTTTACCGGGTAACCCATGTATTGCTCTTCAAGGTAATATAATTAACATAAATACTGAATGTTATTGCGCAAATTTCGTACTGTATTCGAAATTTAATTACTGCAACTATAACACACAAACTTTTATTACATGCCATGAATATAGATGGGCATACTTATTTTCGTATTCATGTTGTTTGGCGGCCTAAAGCTAATATTTACGTAAAATGGACCATTCTCAAGTAACACTGAAAAGTTAAATAAGTAATCCGGATACAAAAAGATTCAAAATTAGCAGCACAAACTACATATAATATATTAATGTTACAACCAATTTTGCACTACATGCTGTTTGCGATAGAGATAATTTCAGTTTGTTTCGTTTTGAAGCCGCTCTCCTAAGTATATTTACAACCTGTATGATGCATGAGAAGCTCGAAAGCGCATTCCGTCTACGATCGTGGAACTTTATACTATCTGTCATAAGATGGGTGACCAAAAATGTATTAAATAACTTGAGCTCCTCTGTGCTTCGGAAGGCATGTTAAGCCGTTGGTCGCTGCTGCATCTATAGGCTTTAGTGCTTACCAAGCAGCGCTGCGCCCGCTCGTGGTGAGTCATGACATATTCTTCTATCCCATTCATAGAGAAGGTACGTGCCCCTTAAATTAAATAAATAAAAAGTACGACAGATACGAAATGATTGTGCGACCAATAGTTTGTATTGACTGAACCATCACTTTATCTCTTTCTAATTGTCAATATCATGCTTGTTTTGCCAGATGCAGCCGGAACCAACGGCTTAACGTGCCTTCCGAATCACGGTCTGTGAATAAGTACAATCTTAACGCGAGTCAAGGCGTTATGCTTCGAATCGGCTATTTGGCATAGACATATCGCATATACCTCTTGATTCCTATATTCAGGAACATACAGTTAAGTGAGCTGCAAAGATCATCATTAATAATGTTTCATTATTTTCCAGGGCCTGTGCCTGTTAATAAAACTGAAGTGGAGCTCGATTGGGTGGAAAAATTGTATCCAGAAATCCAACTGGGTGGGATGTACACCCCACCAAACTGCACAGCGCGGCATAAAGTTGCCATCATTATCCCGTTCAGGTAAACTACTTGCTATATAAATTATATCTCTTATGTATAAGTTTATATATTATCAGCGGGGAATCCGGAAAGTAGCAGACGTGATTTGGGCTCAACTCACACTGGCGCGGTGTCGAAGCGTCGCGTTGCGTCTTGTTTTGTGCCTTGGGAATACCTTAACAGTGGGAAAATACAGATGAATTTGCTACAGACGAAAAATATGAAACTTGGTTTTAAGAAGTCTTGCGTCGACGAACCCTTCAGTATCGTCTATTCAAAAGACTGACGATTTGGACGCGACGAAAAATCATGGTCGTTGTTAATTTTTTTTTCTGCCCTAGACGTTTGTCCCTATATAGAGAACTCAGGTATGGTGGGGAGTACTTCACTAGGTGCAAGGTTGCCCTCCATATGTTAATCTGTCGCGCTCGAGTAAATCCAAAGATCCCCTAGTATAAAGAACGGCATTGCTATTTTTTTTATAGATAGGTTCGACAAATGATTCCACCCCACCTGATGTTAAGTGACGGTGAAGTCCAGACGCGAAGATAGGTGATACAGCATTTCTACCTGCCACATCAGCCATCCTCACCCTGCCGGCCTGCATGTTGCTTCATCACGCCTCCTTTAAAGGATCTCAGGTTGTAAGAGGGAGGGAACTTGTGAGCGGGCAGAGCATTCCATTTACGGATAGTGCTGTTATATTATGATACTCCTGATGTTGCAAATGCGTATGGGCACAGTGATCAAATACCATCTGGTGAGCCGTCTGCTCGTTAACCCATTTAATATAAAAAAAATGGAAAGACTTACCTACTGTTTTGTTTATTTCTACCAAAAAGTTCTGCACAGAATTTTCTTTAAAAACAGCACAAAGATTTATTCATGAAATCAAGGTTCTTAGAAATCATTTAGTCAATAATTTTGTTTACAGAGATCGTCAACAGCATTTAGCCGTGTTTCTACGGCACATGCACCCATTCCTGATGATGCAGCAAGTAGAGTACGGCATTTTTGTCGTAGAACAAGCTGGTGAGTGTAACATTATAAAACGTTAAGTTCAAGAGAGAGAGAGAGAGAGAGAGAGAGAGAGAGAGAGAGAGAGAGAGAGAGAGAGAGAGAGAGAAACTTTTTATAATCATAATCATTACTTTATTTGCATAAAACATAATATTTTAAGATGTTAAAATAAATTATATATTGGTACACATGTTTTGCCTTTACATAAAAGCATGCAAATGTTTAAGGTAAAGGAAATCAAAATTTATGCAAAACCATTAGTTTTCTTGAAAATCCTCGTCATCATCAGCCGATGGACGTCTACTGCTTGACATAAATATTTCCATACACCCAGTCCCCCTGACTCGCTGCATGTCTTCAGTCCATCTGGTGAGGAGTCTACCGACAATGCGCTTCCCGGTGCAAGATCACCATTGAAGCACCTTGGGACCCCAACGTCCATCGGTTCGCCGAACTATGTGCCCCGCCAATTGTCACTTCAGCTTTGCGATCTGTTGAGCCGTTTATGTCGGTTATTTTAATTCTTCTACAGATTTCCTCATTCCTCTTCGAAACACCGAGAATAACTCTCTCCATCTCACGCTGTGCGACGCTTAGCCTTCTTATGAGACTCATAAATTTCCTTATAATAGAAAATAGCCTTTTGGACTAAGAATACATATCATTTTTCATTTTAAGTTGGTAGAAGTTTAGTTGTCTGAATAAGCGCTTAGAGCATTAGGGATTTCTGAAATTTACATCGTTCAGATTCTAATCCAACATGTTCAAAACATGATTGGCGGAACGCCGTATACCCTCATAACTAACGCACTTAAAATGTAACAGGCGTGTGAAACGTGTTAGCTCGTTAAAATCATCAATGCTTACGACGAGCCCTATATCGAAACGCATGATGTTTGACAGAATTGATGTGTCTCGTTCGGCGTTAACCCTTAAAACACACACTATTCGGTACTGTGATGCTGACTTTTATTTGCTCCTCTTTATTCCTAATACCCTTAACATACGAATCTCATTTAATTTTATTTTTTTACTTCAGAATGTTTTTCTGAAAACATTCAACAAAAACACACAAAACTTTATTTCTGAAACATGTTTCTCTACACACGCCGTCTACTGCTCGCGTGGCTGTAAATAAACAGGGCTGCGTTCAAAAACTTTGATCCAGGAGCAACAAATATCAAATTTTACAATTGTTTTGTACATTTTATGTCTAAATTTGACCGTCAGAGTGAAAAGTTGTAAGTACTTTTAGCGTAGGTTTGGAACGGAGACCCCGAAAGCGAGTTGTCAAAAAATGGCCGATGAAACAATACCCTGCCCCGCGAACCGCGCGGGGGTGGGGGCGATTTGTGAACGTGTTTACCATCAGGCTTGGAAAGCAAAATCTTTGTTGATGCAAAGAAACATGCGTAGTGAAACAAAGTTATGTGTAGAGGATTTTGTTGAATGATGTTGTTATGGTTTTGTTGATTTTGTAGGGCAAAACCTTTAGAGAGTAAATAATGAAAGGGCAAAACACGGCCTGGAGACCCGGTTTAATGAATCACAGAAACATCCGTTTCTAGAGTGGCACCCTATAGATGCGCGATCCAACTTGATGCGCATCTTAAAGGGGGCCTCTTTAAACCTACATCTGGGTCGTAAGTCCCGGGAACTGCTCAGAGTTTATCTCTCTTCCACAAGATGGACCCGGCACCTGCACGGTGGATCCATCAATTGCCCCCATGTTCGTCTTCCCCCTCTTAAAAATATAAATTTTAATTAAGAGCGGTATTTAGAGTATTTTATTTTCATTTGTTTAGATAGCTCGTAAATCGTTTATTTTCTGTTATTTATCTCATCTGAGGTTCAACTTTAGTTGAGTCTATTGCGGCAGTTCCAAGATTATTTTATTTGCCAGTCCACCTCAATCTTTTTCTACTAGCCATTTATATTAATCCTTTGAGCGCTTGCTTTTGTGTCCAGTGTGCTCTTATCTAAGATCTACAGATCTAATAAATCTCCTCACGGGCAGCCCCAAGCGGAATAGGCAAAGAAAACGGATCGCCACAAGGCAGTCCTTAGGCGTCATATTAATAGATCGCAAATACGTAATCTTTCCAATTAACACGAAATATGTTCATAATCCTTTCATCCTTTGATTTACAAAGGACATCTCAACTATTAAAGCACATGGGCATTTTACACTATTCAGCTATATATGTTTGATTTCAGGTTTTTTTAAGGTTATGTACCTCAAAAGGAAAAAACGGAACCTTTATAAGTTCACCGTGTTATCTATCTGTCAGTCCGTCTGTCTGTCTGGCAAGACCTTTTATCTCAATAACGCGTGGAGGTATCAAGACATAAATTTTAACTATATATTCAGGTCTACGGTCCCTTGAATATGTGTAAAAATCAAACTTCTATGTTAATAGCATAAAAAGATACGGTTGTTGAGTCCGACACGCACTTATCCAGTTTTTTACATTTATATGTTTACTTACGTCCAACCAAAATTCGTGCTTTTCGCGCACTTGCGTTCATCTAGGTCGGCTACTAAGTACTCTTTACCTTTAAAACCGCATAGTCTGTGCGGAAAGAGAATGGGCGTGGCGAAAAACGGAACTAACATTAAGATTTTTCTTCAGCAATCAAACCCAGCAATCTGTAAAACGTCAAAGTTTTGTATTGATACGGATTTGTTTGTTGTTGTGATTTCTTGCGGTTTTTTTTATTTAATCATGTCTAAAAGGGGTAAAACCTTACAAATACGGTAGAAAAGCACTACAGCGCCTTCCAATCTAAATCCCATTCTCTTTCCACACAGACTCTATGGTTATTGTCAAACCAATATCTGCTGTGCAAAAAACATAACTTAAAAACATAGCAATTGACATTTGACAATATTCTGGTTGATGTACATAGCATATTTTTTTAACAACTTAATTAATGCTAAGATGCGCATAGCAGTATTTGTATCGGAAGATTCTTTTTAATAATAGAATGTCAAAATCTCTAAAACGTGCATATATATTGGTTTGACAATGATTACATGCGATTTTGATAATAAAATATAATTATTTAATATTATTAAAATCGCATCGCAGCCATATAATTTTATGAATTTATAGGTAACAGCGAGTTCAATCGCGCCAAGCTCATGAACGTGGGCTTTGTGGAGAGCCAGAAGCTGAAGGCGGGCGGGTGGCAGTGCTTCATCTTCCACGACATCGACCTGCTGCCGCTCGACCTGCGCAACATGTACTCGTGCCCAAGGCAGCCCCGGCACATGTCCGCTTCCATTGACAAGTTCCACTTCAAGTGAGTCATCATCATTAGCATAGGCTGATGACATTAATAGTAATGTCGCCATTGCTGTAACACAGGCCTTCCCTAAGGATGGAACAACTCCAAGTCAGTATAGAGTACATCATTTTCCTTCAAACAACCACGCACGCTGGCTCACGTTGTCTCTGACTTTGGCTGTCTTTGGCTGTGGAATACTAGTCCACCTGGTTGAAGGCGGGCGAGTGGCAGTGTTTCATCTTTCATGACATTGACCCGCTGCCAAGTGACCCGTGCCCAAGACAGCCGCTGCACATGTCCGCTTCCATTGACAAGTTCCACTTCAAGTGAGTCATAATCATCATAATCAGCCGATGGACATGCACTGCTGGACAGAGGCCTCCTCTAGAGATTTCCAAACACAATGGTTGTGCGCTCTCCGCATCCAATGGGTCCCCCTGGCTCGCTTGATGTCGTCAGCCCACCTGGTGACGGTGCGAGGTCGCCATTGAAGCACTTTGTTATTCCAACGTTTATCGGTTCGTCGCACAATGTGTCCCGCTCATTGCCACTTCAACTTCGTGATCCGTTGAGCTATATTGGTCACTCTAGTTCTTCTACGAGCCAACATCATCAACCTATGAACGTCCCCATTGCTGTAACACAGGCCTTCTCTAAGGATGAATTCCATATCCTTAAGATAGAGCCATGACTTATCACGCGGACCCAGTGCGCATAGGTGTGTGCTAAGAAATGATGAAGCAACCGGAGATGCAGCCGGGACCAACGGCATGCAGGAGCTCGTGATAATAAGTTTTTGGTCACCCATCCAATCCCATCGAGCTCCTCAGATGAGTATAGAGAACATAATATCCTTCTATCATCGCCGCACGACGACCTACGCAACATGTAATCTTAGGCAAGACAAATGTCCGCCTCCAAGTTCCACTACAAGTGAGTGTAGCGCATAGAGACATAGTAAGTAAAGTAATTTAAGATCCAATGAACGCTAGACTCTCGTTATGTTACTCGTATTGGAATATGGTATTAGTTTCTTTGCTATATTTGGCACAGATCGCGAATTTCTTATTCAGCAGTTTCGAAAACAGAAAAGGTTTTCTAATTTGGAAGCCGTTTTCGAAAACAGAGTTTGATTCTTATTTGGCAACAACTTTCGAAACAAGTTTTCTAAAACGTCTTATGGGACAAAATACTTTGTTTATTTCTCAGACTGCCGTACGAAGACATCTTCGGCGGAGTGTCCGCGATGACACTGGAGCAGTTCACCAAAGTCAACGGCTTCTCGAACAAGTATTGGGGCTGGGGTGGGGAGGACGATGACATGTTTTACAGGTAAACAATCTATTTAAAGCATTTCACTTCTATTCTATTGCTTTCTCCCTGCCAGTCATCATTTTTTTTGAGAATTGCTATTCGTTCGTCATTAGCCTATTAATGTCCCCACTGCTAGGGCACAGGCCTTCCCTATGGATTGAAAAAGGAGATTGGGCCATCACCCACCAGTGCGGATTGGCAGGTGCTAACGACTGCAGATGTAGCCAGGACCAGCGGCTTAACGTGCCTTCCGGAGCAGAGAAAAACTCGAGATAGAAGATTTTTGGTCACTCATCCAATGACCGACCACTGCGAAAGTTGCTTAACTTCAACGATCGCAGCCGAACGCGCTAACCACCCGCGCCATCGAGCTGATCTTTAGAAAATTGATATACCTACCTATAATTTAATAAAATACTTTATGAACGGGAGTGACGCGATTTATTGAACTTTTTTTTTATTCAATTAATTTAACATTATCGTAATAATATTTATTTCGTGACCCAGGACTTACGTATTACTTAGCAAACCATACTTATCTATATCTACTAGTTGGTGCGCGCGACTTGGTCTGCGTTGAAAATTTGGTTTACCCATAAAAACCTCCACCACCATTTCCATCCTCCCAAAGGATGATTTCTGGGATAAAACCTAAATCCTACACTCAGACTATCGCTATATCTGATTTCATACAAATTAGGTATTAGACACACGGAAAAGCAGACAGAAAAACACACTTTCGCCCATTTATAATATAAGTATGGAATTATATGGATATTAGTATGGGTAGTGTGGATATTTTAATTAAACCTACCAACAATACTCTTGACGTTTGGGATCCCTTACATCCTTTACGGGTTTAATTAAATGATTGGTGTGGGTGAAAACACTACAAATAAATATTGCTGTACCGAGTTCATTAAATTGCGAATGCAGTAATTTCCCATAAAGTTTGACTTCCCCAGAAGAGGAACAATAGTAGTTTTGTAGGAAATAATCACATAAGTTGTTATATTTATAGAGTTTCACTCTTTTCTCAGCCTTACTCCACTACATTAAGACACAGAGTCGTTTGTGTTTTTTTCTGTGTGAAACTGACTATATTATTTATACATGAATATTTTCGTTCCAGGTTGAAGAAAGTCGGGTATCACATAGCAAGATATAAGATGTCCATAGCGCGATACGCAATGTTAGATCACAAGAAATCTACAGCTAATCCAAAAAGGTAAAGAATTAATCAATCACTCTTATCATAAAGTCTTATATCACCAACTACCCTCAGTTTTCTTCCGTACTTAGGAAAATATACTCAGACATACTCAGTAGTTGAATAGATATGTCAGATTATTAGTTACTTAGAACCGCCTGAACGGCAGTGCCGTTTTAAATTGAAGTTGGAAGCGGTCATGCTTGAATGGCTGCAATAAGGTATTTTCCAAAAATTTGAAAACTGCTTATATTTATCGATTGGGACAAACGGTTTAACAGCAAAATAAAAATAAATTAATTATTGTTTTTTTCTCCATTAAACCAATTACAGTTGAATTTATTTCTAATGGTTTTGAATTTACCGTCAAAACGCTCGGTTCGATGACGTCTACTGTGTGACGTCAACTTTGTGTAAACAACAAGTAAAATCGAGTTAGTCGGCTTTCAGAAACCCGGCTTCCATTGTGGAAAATAAGGTAAAATCGAAATATTTTTACAAAGAAATCAAATAATTACTCCGTAATCACAGATCGTCCACAGACTACATAGGTGTTAAAATTCTTTACACAAAGTTGACATCACACAGTAGACGTCATCGAACCGAGCGTTTTGGCGGTAAATTCAAAACCATTAAAAATAAATTTAACTTTAATCGGTCTAATGGAGAAAAAAAGACATTTAATAGTTTATTTTTATGATAAATCGTTTGTCCCGATCTTTAAATATAAGCAGTTTTGAAACATTTGGAAAATACCCTATTAATATTTTAAAGCTATAGCTAAATTATTTTGAAGTAATATGGGTGAAATTAACATTTTGAAGGCTCTTAGTGAAATTTGGTCTTCGTTCCAGATACCAACTGCTGTCTCAAACCAGCAAGGTGTTCCAGAAGGACGGTTTGTCCACACTCCAGTACCAAGTGGTGAAGGTGACCCTCAACCATCTGTACACGCACATCCTAGCCAACATCGACGAACCCAGCTGATGGACATACTTCGCCAAACTGCTGTTTGGCGACCAACGGTAACGTTAGGACTCGGCGTGTGATAGATAATCCAATATGGTGGTTACCAAAGTGATCTCTCAGTTAGGAAAGGCACGTTGAATATTATAATCATAAATTGAGTACTGTCAACGTGAAATTAAAAAAAATGCATTATAAATGTTCTTGACACGATACAATATAGTCTGAGTCCTGTTTATTATATAGAAAAAAAACAAAAAGTTTTAAACTGTTTTTTACAATAGTTACGTTTTGTTCTTGGGTATAGTTAATTATTGTAAATAAACGTTTACTTTGCTTCTTTATATTTAGGATGACAATAAAATGTTTGATATGAGACATCAAAACATCACATAGTAAGTACCATTTAAAAAGATATCCTTAAGCTAATAAAAATAAACTAAAATCATATGATATAGAGCTTAATTTAGCTTATAATGTTTATAGGTTTCCGTTTATAATGACCAGTTCCACGAAAAGAACTAGGAAAGACATTCAAACTAAAGATTCGTATGAAATTATTAAAAAAAATATGTTGGTACTTTTTTTATTTACTAAAGTAACTAAACTAATTTAGCAAAAAGTTGTTCATTAAAAGTGGAAAAAGATAAAATAGTTTCTTCACTGAGTTTTATTTTTTCAAATGCCAGTCTAATGAATAAAACGTTTGTTTGAATAAAACACAATCTTTTTCTTTCACCTAGTAATTTTCGTGTACAGATTCCGTCATTTGCATTGCTAGTCGCTTAGTACAATTTATATAAATTGTTCGCTTACAATTTTTGTTGTTCCTCAATAAACGGCATATATTATAAGTACAGTTATTACGAGTAAGCTAAGAAAAAACAATAATAATAATAATGTACTTGGTAATCAAACAAATTACTGTACATAGGGCCATAATTCAATACATAAATAGATTACGGATAATGACAATATACCTACCTATTTATGGTTAATCAATTATCAAATCAAATTCGGTTAAATTAATTTTTCTATTTTTTTTATATGTTCATGTTAATTTTTTTTTTATCTATTGATGTTTATTTAAATACCTAAGGAAATGAATTCAAGTGGTTAATGTAACACATAAAAATTATAAGATGAAGTAAAGCTATTCAATGCAATTTGTAATTTGTTAATTGTACAAAAATTGGACTTTATGTATTATGGTCATGGCATATTTACACTGATATGGTACCTAGCTTGTTATGTTTAGGTGGTGCTGGCGTAACTGATTTGGCACCAGAAAGGTGTTTCTGTAACACCAGGTTCTGTAACAATTTAATTAGGTCATTAAAATACAAGCAAAACATTCAAAAGCTCAGTGCTGTGGTTGAAGATACGCCTTTTCCAAATATTTTCCTTTTCAGATATCACTTGTTAAAATCTGTCATTTCTCAAACCTAAAAGGATAAAAATAAATTATATATTAAAATTTGCGAACTGTAAGCTTCGTGTCGAAAAAAATACTATTTGTATACGTAAATAAATAATAACTTATATTGTATATCAACTGTGTACAATGAATAAATTTTCTGCAAAACATCAATTAATGAAATCAATTATTTTATATAGGCATGGTTCATAAAGAAAGTTATATATTTATTGATTTACTAATAAGCGGCCTAATCGACCCTTGAAAAGAAATCACCTCGCGTGTAAGTTATAGATTTTTTATTTAGTTATTATTATGTCATTCTTGTCATTTATTTTTAATATTTAACTGCTTATTTAGGTAGAATTTAAAATGTAAATCGAACCGTCAGTGATTTCATACAAAACGTGTAACGGATATTATACAAATAAAATAATATATTAATTAGTTTTCTTGTACTTACTTAAAATATAAGAGAATGTATAGAAGCTTTGGTAGTAAGTATAAATCAATTTAGAATACGCATTCTAACATATATAGGCTGGTAGATATTTGTAATTTACATTTTCGTATATAATTAGTGAATATATATTTTATAAAAAGGATATATATTCAGTAATTAAGCACAAGTGTATCATGAAAACCCCATTTTGTACTATGGATTTTTGTAGATGTCAAACGTTACATTCCGATTGCAATTCAATTTTACAATAAAATATTTAAACCAATATTAATGTCACAAATTGCTATGTACCTATTAATTTAATTTAAATGAAACCCTGATTCATTGCTGTTTTTAACTAATAACGTAAGTATAAGAGTATCACGCTTACAATAACGTATGGAAGTGATTAAAATGTTATTAGGCTGTGTCTGACAACTTTTTCAATAACTCCGAAAAATGGAAAGGAAAATTGTTGAATTGAACTTTATTAGCTCTGTTGTTTAGTTAAAGAAAAAAAAAAGTCACGGTAGTCCACTATTTTCAACAGTATTTATTCTTTACTTCATCTTTATCAGATTCAATACCAAATTAAAACTTATAAATAGTAAAAAAAAATCATCAATCTAAAAGAAATGACACCGACAATAACAAAAAATAAACAAATAAAAACCCATATTTTTTTATTATTGTGTTTCGTAAATATCCTAATAGCATTTTAATCAATATACGCAATTTATTATTATTATTATATATGTCAAAATGACCCTTTTTTAACTGTTTAGAGTGTAAATATTATGATTTGCATAGCATTAAGGGATACATTGTGATACACAAATTTATTATACATATTAATAGTAAATTGAATTAACTATTTTATTTTTTTAATGATTTCATTTTACTCGTAAACTGTGTTTAAGTTTTTTGTATAATTTTGTGATAAGTCGCGATATTCATACACATTTCAATGAAAAACATATTTGTATTGAAAAAATATACCTGCCACCGTCATGTGGTTCTTTTACTATATTGACGATTGCTTCTTTTTATTTTTCAGTGTAAATATTGTATCTTCGGTAATAAATAAATCGATGGTGAATGCAGAAATATAAATGTTTAATGTGATGAATAGATACTATTATTGCTTAGTAATAATCGCAATTACGAAGTTGTAATTATGGCTAAAATAACAGCAAAACATTCAGCATGAAGTGGCTACTGATATCTCTGAATTGTATGTAAGTATTTATTTTATATTTTAGGTATACGTACGTACTTTCAAACATCACCATTAGTTTAAACTTGTAAAACATTTTTTTTGGTGTTTGAGTTTGATTCAGCGAATAATTTAACAGTTGTAGGTAGTGTTAAATTATTCTCTGAATTTCTAACGGAAACGAACTAGGTAGTACCAGCGCAAGCTAAGCTCTTTGGTAATTGGCCGGTTTTTTATTGCAGTCGTTACTCCGGCCAATGACAGCCCCCCTTTTTGCATCCTTGTCTTTCGTACCCAAGCGATCTGATCCAACATTATTGTGTGATAGGGGAAGAGTTCCTCTATTCTATACTAATTCGTTTCTGTGAAAAGAGTTTAGATAAGTTTTTTCCAGATTTTTCATATTTTTACTCTAATTTTTATTACAACCAAGGAAGTAATGTGTAAAAAAACCTTTTAATACGCTTTTACAGTAATTTATCACAAAACTGTATGTTACCAAAGATAATGTATCAATAGATATGACCTGACTGGCATTCGAAAATTATATGCACGTAAATCTGTTATGCAAGCTATCTTCGCGTTTGAAATCTATCCGAAAATACCGAAGAAAAACGTTCCGACTCTCATATTCCCGTCTGCCGGCTTCTGTATAATCAGACCAGAAAAAATTCGACAATTTTTTTAGTGCATCACATATTAAAGTTGTATTTGCAATAAGTTCCATTTCGCAATATGGCGAGGATTTTTCCTGGTCAGACTTATACCACGCAGCACAAGTTTTCTCAGTTGTTTTTGAACCTTATTTCAAAGACGCCAAAGTTAAAATCAGCCGTAGAAATTTGTTCAGAGTGTTATATTAATAAGTTCAATGGCCAAAATTGCCAACAACTATTCAAAGTTCGGCATTAACTAGGAAGCTACAATGTTTGATGTGGCACTCATTAATTTAATACCGCTACCTTACCGATATCAACAAGCAAGAGTGAAATCACTCATCAACGTTTTAAAAATATTTCGACACGCGTTCAATATGACGAGGACAACCATTGGATTGTGCTTTATTCTTATTTACATACTTTATCAAGGAAAAATACTCACGTTGTAAAAGAAAAAATCTTAAATCCTTACAATTGCTCGTAGTAGATACGGAAATAAAATAGCGAATCCATTATAGAAATTAGATAAAAAGTCAATAACTTGTAATGATAAAGTAGCAGATTTTTATACAAATTGTAGAAATATTCTATATGAGGTGATCAAATAAAGAAACGGTTTTCATTGTTTCTTGCTATTCTAAGTAATTTTATTGGTTAAGTCCAAGTTAAGATTAACGAATTGATCTATTACTATTCAGTACACAAAAATTGTCTACACGTAAAATAGGTATACACATGCTGAAAGTATTACGACTTTAATCAACTTTATTTTAATACCGCAGTTAAACCTCATTTTGAATTGTAAACATTTTTCGTAATTTGCGTACTTTGACTAACGTTAGATTGAAACTTATGGCGGTTGTGAGGTTATAGGTAGACCGTTTAACTGAGTCTTCGCCTACGGAGTAAAGGGTGTGGAAGGATATAAACGGGGACCGTAAGAAGTGCGGGCAGCAGGCACATTCTTGTCGTCCCCGCCGCCAGCACCCCTCACGGTCCCCGTTCTCGTCCTCCCCCCACACCCTGTACCCCGCAGGCGAGGTCTCAGTTAAGCAGTTTACCTACAGCAGCGAGCGCAAATATGTTGCAACTCTCGACTTCACAGCCGTCATTAACACTAAATCTAATTATCGTGTTGGAGCATTTTTGTTTACTATTTTTATATTTTGTACAATTCCCAACTTATTGCTGGTTGAGAAGGTACGTGAAAATTGTATAGTAATGAAATTAGTAGATAATAAAATTGCTTAGCCGTCGTCATTTACATCATCATAATAATAAAAATGTTGAGTAGAAATGATAAGGAACCTAGCAACCATATTGTGTTACTTAATTTTTTTCTAATTTGTGTATACTCATTAGAGATTCTCTTTTTTAAGTGTATAAATTATGTTTTAATGAAATAAATTGTTTGTTTTTTATTTAATATCTAAGTGATTTGTTTTATTTTTCCCCTCCCCTGCTAGACTAGCTTTGCGGGTCTGTCAGTCTACTCTAATATCTATTTGAGTTATTTAA